GTCAGGAGTTTAAGACCAGCCCGGCCAATACGGTGAAACCCTGTCTCTACTAAAATTACAAACAAATTAGTCGGTTGTGGTGGCAGCCACCTGTAATTCCAGCTACTTGAGAGGCTGAGGCAGGAGAATTGCTTGAACCCCAGAGGTAGAGGTTGCAGTGAGCCAAGACCTTGCCATTGTACTCCAGCCTGGGCAACAAGAATGAAACTACGTCTTAGGGAAAACAAAAACAAACCCTTCAATAATGTTTTCATATCAACTAGAAGTTAGAGAAAATACAATCTGTGGTCAGGCACAGTGGCTCATGCCTTTAATCTCAGCACTTTGGGAGGCCAAAGCAGGCCGTTCACCTGAGGTCAGGAGTTTGAGAACAGCCTGGTTAACACGGTAAAACCCCTTCTCTTCTAAAAATACAAAAATTAGCTGGGCGTGGTGGCACATACCTGTAATCCCAGCTACTAGGGAGACTGGGGCAGGAGAACTGCTTGAACCCAGAAGACAAAGGTTGCAGTGAGCTAAGATTGTGCCACTGCATTCCAGCCTGGGTGACAGAGCGAGACTCAGTCTCAAAAACAAAGAAAATACAATTTGAGATACAAAATGATACAGCCTCTCACACATTAAGGCCCAGATCATGCCTAAATTTCTGGTGATTTGAGTTAGAAGACCTGAAAGATTCCCCTTTATCTCTTATCCCACTCTAATCCCACAACACTCTACCCCAGATGGGGCAGGGAATCCCATAACGCTGTACGCAAGAAAGGTAGCCATTTAAAAAATATGTTCAGCAACACTGAAAAATAAATATATGGAACAAGTCTCCCTATCCTGAACAACTAAACTGGCTGAGGTGGGGTGGGGAGCCAGAAAAAGACATAGAACACAACCTGAAATTTATGTAACACTAAATTTAAAACATGATTTGGTTTAAACCACTTCAGAATTAATTTTCTCCTTATAATTATTTAACCTGAGACAAAGTAGCTATGAATAACAATTTTTCCAGTATTTACTAACTTAAATTCAACTGAGTCTTATTTTAACAATATAATCAAAGAACTAGAACTGCCCTATATTGTAAATCACTTTTATGCAAAAAATCCTGAACTTTAACTAATACAGTTTTTTTAATACTATTTTAAATATCCAAACCTAAAATTATTTGGAAACAACTTTGTTGCATACCATAGCAAAATTCTATTGAGAATAGACAACTTAGAGAGGAATATAAGTGAATTAATGGAACTGAAGAATACAATACAGGAACTCCGAGAAGTATGCACAGGTTTAAACACTCGAATTGTTCAAGCAGAAGAAGGGATATCAGAGGTCAAAGTCCAACTTAATGAAATAAAACGTGAAGAAAAGATTAGAGAAAAAAGGATAAAAAGGAATGAGCAAAGTCTCCAAGAAATGTGGGACTATGTGAAAAGACCAAATTTACGTTTGATAGGTGTACCTGAATGCAACGGAGAGAATGAATCCAAGATGGAAAATACCCTTCAGGATATTATTCAGGAAAATTTTCCTGAACTAGCAAAGCAGGTCAATATTCAACCCCAGGTAATACAGAGAACACCACAAAGATATTCGTCACGAAGAGCAACCCCAAGGCACATAATCGTTAGATTCACCAGGGTCGAAATGAAGGAGAAAATACTAAGGGCAGCCAGAGAGAAAGGTCAGGTTACCCACAAAGGCAAGCCTATCAGACTTACAGCAGATCTCTCAGCAGAAACTCTACAAGCCAGAAGAGAGTGGGGGCCAATATTCAACATCCTCAAAGAACAGAACCTTCAGCCCAGAATTTCATATCCAGCCAAACTAAGCTTCACAACTGAAGGAAAAATAAAATCTTTTATGAGCAAGCAAGTACTCAGAGATTGTATTACCACCAGGCCTGCTTTACAAGAGCTTCTGAAAGAGGCATTACACACAGAAAGAAACAACCAGTATCAGCCTTACTAAAAATATACCAAAAAGTAAAGAGCACCAACATAAAGAAGAATTTTCATCAACGAATGGATCAAACAGCCAGTTAACATCAAATGGCAGTAACCCTAAATTTAAATTGACTAAATCCCCCAACAAAAGACACAGCCAAAACCCAACGGCATGTTACATCCAGACCTGTTTCACATGCAAGGATACACAAAGACTCAAAACAAAGGAATGGAGAAAGATTTACCAACCAAATGGAGAGAAAAAATAAATAAATAAATAAATAAAAAGCAGGAGTTGCAATTCTCGTAGCAGATAAAATAGATTTTAAAGCAACAAAGATATCGTGGTAAAAGGATCAATACAACAACAAGAGCTAACGATCCTAACACCCAGATACATAGAGACTTAGATTCAATGAGACAGAAAATTAATAAGGATATCAAGGACTCGAACTCAGATCCAGAACAAGTAAACTTAATAAATATTTATAGAGCTCTCCACTTCAAATACATAAAATATACATTCTTGTCATACCACATCACACCTACTCATAGGTTTAAATGAAACATTGATTGGCCATTATTAATACCCTTTTTTTTTTTTTTTTCAGAATAAAGCAATATTTCCGTTCACCCTCCCTCCCTCTCTTTCTCTTTCTTTCTCTCCTTTACTCATTTTTTTTTTCCTTTCCTTCTCTCAAAAAAAGAGATCAACTTGTAAACCTCTAGATCCAGGTCGGCAATGTCTCTCTCATTGCTTGAATTCATTCCTTCCCTTCCCTCCCTCCCTCCCTCTCTCTGCCCCCCTTCCTCCCTCCCTTCCTTCATCCCTTCCTTCCTCACTCCCTTCCTCCTTCCCTCCCTTCCTGCCTTCCTCCCTTCCTCCTTCCCTCCCTAAAAAAACAAAAAAAAAACCCTTATATTTCAAGAAAAATAACTCCTTGTAGCTTAGCAAAAAAATATGAGGACTTCTCTTTAATTCCTGAGTTTAGAATTCTAGAGCCATACCTTAAAGACTCAAAGTGATCTGAATCATCCTGAGGTAGATACTGCAACCTAAAGTTTCTATTTAACCTTAATCAAATGTAAAACTTAGGGCTATTGCTTTCTACTCTATTTTAACCACTAAAATTTTTTTGCCCTCTTATTTTTATCAAATTTTATCCTTTGAGTTTCTGAGTTGAGGTTTATTATCATTTAAAAATTATCTATCTTATTATATAGCACATCCACATTTGGATTGCTAAAATGGTATTTTTCTCACAGGACACATCATCCAGTTCTGTTACGAAGAGCTGTATCTAAATACCTGTGATCCCAGCTACTCGGGAGGCTGAGGCAGGAGAATTGCTTGAACCCAGGAGGCAGACGTTGCAATGAGCTGAGATAGCGCCATTGCACTCCAGCCTGGGCAACAAGAGCAAAACTTCATCTCAAAAAAAAAAAGAAGTAGGAAAAGGGGAGGATCCAACACTGAGAAGGTCCCCCTGCATGTAACCTCCTGGTCTTTTTTTGTTCTAAAACTAGACCATGGTCAATATTCAAATCATTCTACATGGAAAAGTCTTTTCTTCATAAACTTCCCTCTAATCTGGGATTTCCACATGGATGGGCTCTCTCTTCTAGGCAATATTATAGGTTCCAAACTAAAATGATTTTTCCAAAAGAGTCCGCCTCTCATGGTTCACTTCTTTTGTTTCATTTTACTCATATAACAAAGGATTGCTAAATGTCTCTTCTAAATATATTGATATGGGAAATTCCAAAACACAGTTTGTTTCTATGCTAGTTAGTAGTTGATAATTCTGGTAAGTACCCTAGCAGTTTGAAGTACTTTCTAGTACAGAAAAATAACAGAACAAGACATATCTAAATATAATGGGAAATGCACTTTTAAATTGACACACAAATAAGTAAACAAGTGCAGTAAGAGCACAATTACTCAGCACCTATCTTTCTGGCTCTAAATTACCTTTATATTTTTAGGATTAGCAATAATCTCTTCTGAAGCGTGGCACCCCAAACAGCCCATTAATTTCACCAAATGAATATAGGTAAAACTGATTACAGACCTTGTCTTAAGTACTCCCAGGAGTTAGCTGGTTTTTATAATTAGGGAAAATATTAAGCTAATATGCTAGTCAGGTTATTTACCACAAAATTATTACTTGGTGAAAGCACTAGTTATGTGGCCGGGTGTGGTGGCTCACGCCTGTAATCACAGCACTTTGGGAGGCTGAGGTGGGTAGACCACTTCAGGTCAGGAGTTCAAGACCAGTCTGGCCAACATAGAGAAATCCTGTCTGTATTAAAAATACAAAAATGACCCCGGCACGGTGGCAGGTGCCTGTAATCCCAGCTACTCGGGAGGCTGAGGCAGCAGAATTGATTAAACACGGGGCAGAGGTTGCAGTGAGCAGAGGTCATGCCACTGCAGTCCAGCCTAGGTGACAGAGCAAGACTCCGTCGCAAAAAAACAAAACAAAACAAAAAGTGAAATTAAAGAAAAATAAGCACTTTAATATTCACACAAAACAAATACCAAACTACTTAACAGTGCCTTTATCCAGGCCCTTTGATGAATACAATTATACCTAGATTTAATCTAGCCATTATTTAGGGTCCTCATGAACCCTTACCAATGTCCAATTAATAATACAAATACCAAGAGAATACCTTTATGAGACTTAGTAGGGTTTACAGTTTCCATAGGTATAAAAGTATGCATTATTTCACTAATACAGCTTTTCTTCTTCCTGGCTCACTGCCATAATTCTGTGACATTTACTAGAAAACTGCAATGCTATTGCTACTATTAAATATAAACATTTGCTTTCCAGAAATCAACAAAATGAATCAACCAAGCATATTAGAAGTCAAAAAAATGTTCCAATCGAGGCCAGGCACAATGACCCATGCCTGTAATTTCAGCACTTTGGGAGGCTGAAGCAGGCAGATCACCTAAGGTCACAGGAGTTCAAGACCAGCCTAGCCAACCTTGTGAAACCCCATCTCTACGAAAAACACAAAAATTAGCCAGGCATGGTGGTGGGGTACCTGTAATCCCAGCTACTTGGGAGGCTGAGGCAGATGAATCGCTTGAACCTGGGAGGTGGGGGTTACAGTGAGCCAAGATCGCACCACTGCCCTCCAGCCTGGGCAACACAGTGAGACTCCGTCTACAAAAAACCAAAAAATTCCAATCTAAATGAGGTTAATATGTATGTGCTTCAAGAATTTTTCACAAAGTAATCTGTAGTGTAGTCTGGCTTATCAAAATTTAGTTTTTGATTATCAATGATGTAACATAGGGTATTTAGGTCATCTCATTTACATCTAAAGCTAAAGATTTGGGGTCCCAAATAGAAAGTAACAGAAATTTACACTCTTCAAAAACAGAAGGAAGAAAACCACAAATGACAGACAACTAAAACACTACAGTCTGTCAAATGCAAAAATGAAAATATTCTCCTTTCCACATACCACACAATCACATCTCACTAACTTTACAAAAAATAGTGCATCTGACTCTTAAAAACTTGTTTTTTGAACACATTTTTAATTGCAGTAAATGATACATATAATTTACCATTTTAACTATTTTTAAGTGCACAATTCAGTGGCATTAAATCTATGCACGACATTGTGCAACCATTACCATTATTCATTTTCAGAACTTTCTCATTACTCCAAACAAGCTGTACCCATTTAACTATAGCTCCCCATTCCTCCCCTACTGCCAGCTCCTGGTAACCAATATTCCACTTTCTATCTCTGCCTCTTCTAAGTTTCTCATGTAGCTAGTTATGTGATGTAAATGGAATCATACAATATTTGTCCTTTTCTGTCTGGCTTATTTCAATTTGGATATATTTTCAAGGTTCACTCATACTGTGGCATGTAACAGAATTTCATTCCTTCTCAAGGGTGAATAATATTCCCTTGTATTTATATACCACATTTTGGAATTTACCCATTCATCTGCTGATAGACCCCTGGGTTGTTTCCATCTTTTGGCTACTGTAAATAATGCTGCTAGAAACATTAGGGCACACATATCTGTTTGAGTTCCTGCCTTCAATTCTTTGGGGTATATACCTATGAGTGGAATTGGTGGATCATATAATTCTATGTTTACTTTTTGGGGGGGAACCACTTGTTTTTTCGCAACAGCTGCACCACTTTACATTCCCCACCAGCAATGCATGTGGAAAGCTAATTTTATGAGAGACAGCCCCACACAATTAAAAAAAAAAATTGGGGGTAGGTGCAGTGATTCACACCTGTAATCCTAGCACTTTGGGAGGCTGAGGTGGGCAGATGACAAGGTCAGGAGAACGAGACCATCCTGGCCAACATGGTGAAATCCCATGTCTACTAAAAATACTAAAAAATTAGCTGGGTGTGGTGGTGCGCACCTGTAGTCCCAGCTACTCAGAGGCTAAGGCAGGAGAATCACTTGAACCTGGGAAGTGGAGGTTACAGTGAGCCGAGACTACATTACTGCACTCCAACCAGGCCACTGAGCAAGACTCTATCTCAAAAAAAAAAAACAAATCAAAAAAAACATAAATTCTATACTGTTTTGACAGCACTTGCCAACTGTTTAAACTGTCCATTTATATGTGTGCATATGTGTGTACATACACATATTTTATTGATATAATTCACATATCATACAATTTACCTACTTAAAGCACACAATTCAATGGCTTTTAGCATAGTCACAGTTGGGTATCCATCACCAAAATAAATTTTATTTTTGAGACGGGAAAAATTTTATTTTTCTTACTCTGTCACCCAGGCTGGAGGAGTGGTACAATCATAGTTCACAGAGCCTTAACATCCTGGTTTCAAGGGATCCTCCCACCTGAGCCACCTGAGTAGTTGGGACTATAGGTGCATGCCACCATGCCCAGCTAATTTTATTTTTTGTAGAGGTGAGATCTCACTATACTGCCCACGCTGGTCTCAAACTCCTGGGGTCAAACAATTATACCACCTTGGCCTCCCAAAATGCTGGGATTACAGGCGTGGGCCAACATGCCCTGCTAATTTTTGTATTTTTAGTAGAGACAACTTTTCACCATGTTGGCCAGGCTGGTCTCCAACTACTGGCCTCACATATTCCACTCATCTCAGCCTCCCAAAGTGCTGGGATTACCGGTGTGAGCCATCTCGCCCAGCCTATTTCCAATTCTACAATCACCTCATGTTAACTTGTTACATTGCGTTCTGTGGGGCACAGGCTTTTAAATAACATTTTTAATTAAGACTCACCCTTAAAAAATAATCCTCCCAAACAAAGACAAGGGGGAGAAAGTACTGCTGGGAAATATTATGTTTTCTCATATAGGATAAAGACACTAGGTGTTTTCTGTGCCATAAGACTAAGGTCATATTTCTAGTTTTTGCAATTATTCTTGACAGTCCTATTACCTATTAATTTAACCAATCTAGAGTCTGTTATTTCAGTCTGTAACATGTTAGAGATACAAAGTTCCCTATGAGAACGGTTGCTCACTATATTACATAGTTACACATTTTGCCCTAAAGCTGCCTCTTGCAAGCTCCAAGACAACTTCCTGATTAGAGTATTCTGGATTTAGAGAACAAATCCACCTCAATTTTCAATGGCTGGGCATGGTGGCTCATACCTGTAATCCCAGCACTTTGGGAGGCCAAAGCAGGCACATCATTTGAGGTGAGGAATTTGAGACCAGCCTGGCCAACATGGTGAAACCTTGTCTCTACTAAAAATTAAAAAAATTATCCAGCCATCATGACATGCGCCTGCATTCCCAGCTGGTTGGGAAGCTGAGGCAGGAGAATGGTTCGAACCTGGGAGGCGGAGGCTGCAGTGAGCAGAGATTGCACCACTGCACTTTACTCACTCCACTGCACTCTAGATGACATAGTGAGACTTACTCAAAAAAAAAAAGAGAGAAAGAGAGAGACACAGAGAGAGAACAAATCCACCTCAATTTTCATCTTATTTATCTAAATTCTTATCTTTACAGATAAAATAGTTCCACTTTTTTTTTTTTTTTTTTTTGAGACGGAGTTTCACTCTTGTTGGCCAGGCTGGAGTGCAATGGTGCAATCTCGGCTCACCGCAACCTCCGCCTCCTGGGTTCAAGCGATTCTCCTTCCTCAGCCTCTCAAGCAGCTGGGATTGCAAGCATGTGCCACCACGCTCCGCTAATTTTGTATTTTTAGTAGAGACAGGGTATCTCCATGTTGGTCTGGCTGGTCTCGAACTCCCAACCTCAGGTGATCTGTTGGCCTCGACCTCCCAAAGTGCTGAGATTACAGGCATAAGCCACCACCCCGGGCTTTTTTTTTTTTTTTTCTTTCTTTCTTTCTTTCTTTTTTTTTTTAGACAGAGTCTTGCTCTGTCTCCCAGCTTCCAAGCTGGAGTGCAGTGGCACAATCTCAGCTCACTGAAACCTCCACCTTCAGGGTTCAAGTGATTCTCCTGCCTCAACCTCCCAAGTAGCTGGGATTAGAGGCGGACCCTACTACACTCTGCTAATTTTTTTGTATTTTTAGTAGAGATGGGGTTTCACCATGTTGGCTAGGCTGGTCTCGAACTCTTGACCTCAAGTGAGTGGTCCATCTGCCTCAGCCTCCCCAAGTGCTAGGATTACAGGTGTGAGCCACTGCAACCAGTCCCAATTCTTCAAAGGCCTAGTTTCCCATTTGTAGTTATTTTAACGCAATTATTATTCCAATTGAAATCTGCTATATGGTTGCCTATAACTAGTGCACAATCCTCAAACTTCCGAAACCCTTCCTTCTTTTCCCAATGTAGCATTCATTCACTCATTCATTCAATAAATATCAAGAACCTTTCTAATACAAAACACTTGTGCCAGGTGTTACAAAAATGGGAGGTATAGTAAATGCCCTTAAGAACCTTACCATCCAGTATGACTATTTAAGCAAAACTGGACTTCATCAGATGTACTTTATGGTTTACTGCAGCTTTACTTCTATGACTGATTCTGATATTTTACAGATTTTATCACATCCTAGGTTTCTTTTCCTGAACACATGCATAATCTTGTATTTAAATACAAAAGCTCTGCTGGGCCTGGAGGTTCATGCCTGTATTCCCAGCACTTTGGAAGAATGAGATGGGAGGATCACTTGAGGAAAGAGTTCAAGATCAGCCTGGGCAACATAGCAAGAACCCGTCTCTACAATTTTTTTTTTTTTTGAGACGGAGTTTCACTCGTTACCCAGGCTGGAGTACAATGGCGCGATCTCGGCTCACCACAACCTCCGCCTCCTGGGTTCAGGCAATTCTCCTGCCTCAGCCTCCTGAGTAGCTCGGATTACAGGTACGTGCGCACCACCATGTCCAGCTAATTTATTGTATTTTTAGTAGAGACAGGGTTTCACCATGTTGACCAGGATGATCTCAATCTCTTGACCTCACGATCCACCCGCCTCAGCCTCCCAAAGTGCTCAGATTACAGGCTTGAGCCACCATGCCAGGCCTACAATTTTTTTAAATTAGCTGGGTGTGGTGTTATGCACCTGTGAACACTGAGTAGTCCCAGCTACTCAGGAGGCTGAGGCAGGAGTTTTAGCCCAGGAGTTCAAGGCTACAGTGATTCATGCTCATCCCACTGCACTCCAGCAGCCAGGATGACAGAATGAGACCCCATCCCTTAAAAAAAGAAAATAATAAATATAAAAGCTTTCTTAAATTTTGACAAACGTTTTTTCAAATTATTTCCATGATTAACACTCACTTTTAAAATTCCATTTAAAAAGATGGAATACTTATAAATAAATTTTTTAAAGAAGTGTTGAAATAAAGATCCAAAAAACATAAAAAGATATCCCATGTTCATGGACAAAAAGATTTAATATTATTAAGATGGTAATACTCCTCAGATTAGCCTACAGATTCAACACCATTCTTATTAAAATCACAGCTGACTTCTTTGCAGAAACTGAGAAGCTATTCCTAAAATTTATTTAGAAATTCATGGGACATTAGCTGAAACAATCCTATAAAAGAAGAAAAAAAGTTGAAAGGCTCACAATTCCTAATTTCAAAACTTCTACAAAGCTACAGTAATCAAGACAATATGACATTGACACAGAATAGATATATAAATGGAATAGAACTGAGAGTTCAGAAGAAAAAACAAAAATAACCCAT